GGCGCCCGTAAAAGCGAGCCTACGTATACAAATCCGTATAATTATGTGTGACTCTTTCCCTATTCGAATCGTGATCGCGCCAGCGCAAACTAGCCTTCACCATGGATTCGGACAGATTCCAGTGTCAGGGCGTGTATGTTCCCACTTTTGTAAGTGCGTGTTGGGGAGCCGAGGTGCTTGGAATGGGGAGGTGAAAGTTGGGAGTAAGAGAGCAGTACCCCTCCCTATGGTTTAATGTGTGCGTTTATACAGAATCGTAACGGCGCCCGTAAACGCGGCCTACGTATACGAATCCGTATAATTATTGTGTAACGCTTTCCTCTATTCGAATCGTGATCGCGCTAGCGCAAGCCAGCCTTCACCACGGACTCGGACAGATTCAAGTATCAGTGTGTGTATCTATACGGAATCGTAATGGCGCCTGTAAAAGTGGTACAGTGGTACCGAGAAGGTGGTACAGATTCCAGCGTAAGTGTCAGCGAGTGTATTACAATAATAATTCTAATAATAATAGTATTAATAATTATAATAATAATATTAATAATAATAATAATAATAGTAATATTAATAATAGTAATAATTATAAAAATAGCTTAACATATTCCTTAAATATTAAATTTAATACTCTTAACTTAATTCTAAACAGATTAGACGCAAACGACATAAACAAGTTCCATTTAAACCCCCAAGGCAGCCTTTGTTTTGCCGGGAAAACAAACGCTGGTCCAGTGTGAGCGAGCGAGAGGCCCGAAGAGAACGTTGGAGTGAGAGAGAAGCAAATAGTACGTATGCGTGCGAGCGAGAGGCCCGAAGAAGACATTGGAGTGAGAAAGACACAAATAGTCCCTATGTGTGTGAGTGAGAGGTGCGAAGAAGGCATTGGAGTGAGAGAGAAGCCAATAGGCCGTACGCGCTAGGCTAACGGGACTTCGTCTGGCTGTAGTGCTGGGCGCCAGCCGGGAAAAACCCAATCTTGCCGGCAGCCTATAGGGCCCATAAGAGCGACGAAGACGCAACTAGTTTATGTCAAAGTTGCGAAAGTCGTTCTCTATCGTGTCGGTTGGCGAGTACGGAAAAATCATTTGAAATGAGTTTTTCTTTAAAATATAATTTTTCTCTCGCCGACCGACGTATAACAAAGTCATTTTCAATTTGACGTCAAAGTCATTTTCATTTTCACTTCGTAGTCAAATGTTATTTTTCGTAGTTTTACTTAAAATGATTGTTTTGATTTGTAAAATTGTAATATCCACAATTTATTTAGGAATTAAATTATAAAAAAGTAAAGTAAGTAATTTTAAACAGATAAAAAAGCGGTATAATTAAAGAATTTTTAAAAGATTAATAATTAGGTTAAAATTATTTAATAAAAAATTATTTCATCTGTCAACGGTAAGTATTTTTTAATGTTGAAACCAGGGATATGTTATAATTGTTTTGAATAATGCCTTACTTTCATTTTTATAAATGTAGTCAGAATAAAATAAACTAAAATATTAATAACTAAAGAAGAAATTATGTCGTTTAAAAGATAATTCAAAACATAAAAAATTACTTACATTTGACCGATGAAATATTTTTTTCCTAAAATAATTTTCATTTAAATTAGTCTCCTACTGTTTTGAGCAAATTGACATTTTGTACATAATTTATTGATGTAATTTAAAATAGAAAATGCTCAACATAAATTATTATTAAAAATACTCAATTTTTTTGCATAATGTAATAGAAATTAATTCCTAAACATAAATTTAGTAACGAGACTGTTATTTATATTTGTGTAATTAAAAATTAACGATTAATTTTATTTAAACTGTAATTAATTATATATAAATAGTAATATTTAAATAATTCTTTCAATTTCTCCTCTTAACATATGTGAATGAATAAATAAATAAAATAATATTAATGTTTTAATTATATTTCATAAATTAAAGTTTTTTTAACCTCTTACTTTTACTTAGTTTGTTAAAGTTATAAACGTTTTTTTAAAAATCCTTTTAATGCTGTCTTGATCTTTTTAAAATTACTTACTTCACTTTTTCATCATTTAATTCCTAAATAAAGTTTTTATTCTTAAATTTTTAATAAAGGGAAAAAAGTAATTATACTTCAAAATTGTGGTTATTACAATTTGACAAATCAAAACAATCATTTTACGTAAAACTATGTAAAATGACATTTGACTACGAAGTCAAAATGAAAATGACTTTGACGTCAAAGGTAAATCAAAATACATAATCGCTACCCAGAACCAGAAAGTGCTGGTTCTCACAGATCAGAAGTTATAATTGTTAGCTGTTTGATTAAGCAAGTCAAAGCAGAAATTGCTGGTTCATCGAAGTAACGCCCCCCATAAGAATTCAAGCGGGAATTGTAACTAGTTGTTACTAGAAGTAGTAGTTGTAACTAGAACGTAACTAAACATTCACAAATTTTGTTGAAGTGTGACCGGACAAATGTTTCTGCATGCATGAGATAGTGTGACCGTAGTCTAATATGGCGTCATTTTACGGCTATGACGGCAAAATTCATTTTTACAGAGAAAATCAAAGTGTCCAAAGTCACTGAAAAAGCGAGGTTAAGTCGCGTTTGCGTAGAATGTGTTCTTTGCATTGCTTTTTCAATAACTATGGTCATTGTATATTGGCAGGGTGTTTAACGGTCAGGGAATTTCAGAAAATTTCATTCAAAGTCAGGAAAATTTCTGTAAATTTCTACAAAAATTAAATTTTTTTGTGAATTAAAAAATTTTTTAATCTAAAAAAACTTGAATGGTTTTTATTACCATTTGTTACTACCATTAGAAATTAATTTATTGTTAAATATGTCAGTAACCATATTTTTATCCAAAGAAAGCAGAAATAAGGTTATTAAAAAGTTAGGGAAAAATCTATTAATTTTAACAAAATCTGTTACTGAACTTTTTTCAAAGCAGTCAGTGCCGGCCCTAGCCTTCCTTGCGCCCTTGGGCAAATTTTTCCAGGCGCCCCTCGTATGGAAAGGAAATTTAGAAAAGTGAACCAATATTAGTTGTTATTAATAGTCCAAAATTTAGCCATTAGTGTATATATTTGATAATGATTTGACTATTATTTTCAGTATAAATTTTAACGAATCATTTGCTACTTCTTATGGGATTTAGAAGCTTTTGTCAATGATTAATTTCCTATTGTATTTCAAAATGAGAAATTAATAAAAGCACTTATGTATTTTTGTAAGAATTGTATTAAAAAAAGCATATGGATAATATTAAGTAAGATTCAAAGATTAAATATAACCTCACAGTACAAATTAATTTTTATGTAAAAATTTACATTACGACGAATGTTTAAACAGAAATGGAAAATTTATAAAAATATTTAACTCAGTTTAATTCCTAAAATCAACTTTTCGAGCCTTTTTCTCAGCGAAAGTTTGAATTAGAACAGAGGTATCTACATTTTCGGCGATATCGTGTTCAATAGATAAAGTTGCTAAATTTGAAAGTTTATTCTGTGACATTGTCGATCTTAGGTACGTTTTAATTAACATTAATTTCGAGAAACTGCGTTCACCACTTGCTACAGTTACCGGTATTGTTAATAAAATAGGCATGGCTATCCATATATTTGGATACAAATCTTGCAAATCATGTTTTTTTATGAAGTTTAATACGATTAGTGGAGTAATTTTGACTTTAGATTTATCGACAAGAAATCCTTTGACACTCAACAATTCATCACAAAGTTGTCTACCTTCAATATCTGATTTTGAATTTATTGTTAATTTAATTTGAAGACTGTTACACATTTCTAAAAGTTCGTCTCGATCTGGCAGATTATCAACATTATACAAAAAACCCCAAATTTTTGAAAATTCTTGCTGTAACAATGGCCTTTTTAAAACCTTCTTTTCTATAGTCTTCTAAAAAGTTGCAGCAGTTCTTTAACATTTCTACGCATTCGGTGATGTCCATGTCCTTTGCTTGAAGCGATTTACTGACTATGTTTATTTGGAAAAGAATATCATACCACACAATCAGTGAGACAAGAAAGCTAAAGTCTTTTAATTGTTCGGCTAAAGTAATAGCTTCATGTGCTGTATGACTATCGCCACCTGGAATTTCAGATAAAGCCACTAAAGCGTCATGAATTACACCGATTTGGTATCGAACTGCTTTCACACTACTGATTTTAGCTTCCCAACGTGTGTCAGATAGTTTTTTTAACGTGTATAGTTCAACGTGATCAGTCAAAATTTTCCACCGATTGACTGAAGCAGAGAATAATGTGAACAATCTCTGAAGTACACCGAAAAGAGTTACTGACTTGACTGAAGATTCTGCAGCATCAGAAATTACGAGGTTTAAATTATGGGATCCACAAGATACAAAATCAGCCAACGGATTTTCATCTAATATTCTTCTTTGCACGCCAACAATTTTTCCTTTTATATTAGATCCGTTATCATATGCTTGACCTCTGCAGTTTTCGAGTTCAAGTCCGAATGTCTTCAACATTTGAAGTATTGATTCAGTAAGACCTGCACCAGTCGTATCATTGACATTAATAAATCCCACAAAATGTTCTTTTATTTCTACCGTATCGACAGTTACATCTACAAATCTAATAGTAAGGGAAAGTTGTTCTTTTCGCGAAACGTCTGGCGTACAATCAGCAATGATTGAATAATATTTGGCTGACAGAGCATTATTTTTAATTACAACATTTACATTTTCAGCAATTAAATCTATTAATTCATTTTGTATCTTTGGCCCACAATAATGATCAACAATTTTGCCATCCACAGCAAGATTCAAATGATTTTCCATGACAGGATCAAACTTTGCAATCGTTTGCACTAATCCCAGAAATTTACCATTATTAGGCGTAAAAAGTTTATCTGAATTACCTCGGAAAGCCATATTATTTACACCTAAATATAAAACAATATTCAACAGCCGAAACAAAACACTTTGCCATCGCAAACTCTCTTTTTTAATAATTTTTAATTCCTCTTTATCGATAGTTTCTCCTGTTTTTAGCCTCATCTCTGTTTCTATCCACATTCGGTAAGCTTTTTTATGAGAAAGACTGTTCTCATGAATTGAAAGATATTCTGATAAATTTTTCAATTTATTGAATCCATCACCAACGAATTTTGAAATAGATTTGTTGTCAAAAAGTCGACAGCAAAAGCAAAATACGCAATCTCGCGAAAGAGAGTACACTAACCATCGTCTGCAAAGTACTTCGCCATTTGAAAGTTTTCTAGTATAATATGAGTTTGAAAAATGTCGACCTTCTCCATTTTGAGGGTAATTGTCAATTTTAATTTGATTTGGACCTCCTTTAATCAACTCATCGATAAGACTATTATTTCGAATGGTAGGCCAATTTCCACAATCAGACAACTGTAAAATCTCTTGTGAATTGTCAATAATATCCTCGTTTTTCGTATCTTGTACACAATTTAAATCTATTTCTTTATTTTCAATTTCATGTATGTCATTCACTAATTCTATGGAAACACTTTCGGAAATACTTGATTCAGAAGGAACTTTTATACAGTCTTCAGAGATTACGTCTTTTCCTTTTTGAATTATATATTTTTTAACATCCATAAACTTTTTATCATGTTCTAATTGCTGAATTTTCTCCGCTTTTCGTTTTCTAAATTCAAAACCAGACGGTTTCTTTTTATCACTTGACATCTTGCTAATTTATTAAGTCAAAATTATTGCGAATATCCTGTACGTAAAAAAATAAAAAATTATTATTATAAACCCAGATAACACAACATATTCCTGGAATCTTCCAAGAATATTCCGTTGGAATATTCGGCATATTCCACTGGAAGATACTTGGAAGATCCCGGGAATATAGTTAATGTCCACCTGCTTTTGAATGTTCCAAAGGAATCTTCCTGGAATATTCCACGAGAATTTGGTGGGAAGAAGTTTTAGGAATAGCCCTGGAATATTTTGAAGTTATCTTGCAGGAAGGTTTAATAGGAACATGCACTGAAAATACCTAAGGAATTTTCAATTTGATTGTTCCTTGGAAACCGTCGTAAAGTGTATGAAATAATTTTTAAAGTTATATTTCAAGTTCAATTTTAATTAGCTAAAAAACTAAATGTTAATTAATCGATCAATGTTATTTCATATCGACTGAATTTGTCACTCGAACTATCATTTTTAATGTCATTAAATTATAAAATCAGAAAGCAGAATAAATAGGGCTGATATTTTTATTATTTAAGAAATTCTTATTTCAACTTAAGTATTAACCCAAGGACAAGAATAAATACATTTTTTTCAATTCATCTTTAAATTTATTATAAAATCTTTTTAGTGGAAACATAAATAAAATTGTTTTGTGACAAAAGTTCTGCGATGATTATAGTATATAAGCTTCCTAAGGATCATTCACTTCGTAGAGATAATTAGAATTTATCCAGTTTAAGGTAAGTATTTCGTAAAATATATAAATGGATAATTTAATACAATTTCGTATATTACAATGACATGGTTCACATAATAACCAGCAGAACGGAAATATAAGAGAAAATAATATAACACATTGACAGTCTCTCATAATGTAAATAATGGTTCAACAATAACAAAACTAATATTCTTTTTTTATTTTAGGTGTAAAGACAACAGCGTCGTTTATTGAATTTCTTTGAAAATCTGCAGTAACTAAAATGGAATAATGAAAGAACTAAACATCTTTCTTTAATTCAGATCTGTCGATACTAAAATTGTTTTTAAATTCAAGGTAATAATAGTAATACTTGAGTAGTAATGAAACTAAAAATCTTAATATGTCTCAGATGCTGCATCATCAAAATCACTTAATTGAAGATTGACATACATTATATCGTACTTAAATTTTTTATAAATGTGTGGATTTACTCGACAACTACACAGCTAAAACTAATAAAAAGAGTGTGCTAGAGGAATTAGAATTCGGCCTTTTTCGCAGGGTATTGACCACACTTTAGCAGCTACATCATCCAAAGGAAACGAATAGTAGTTGGAGTCAGAATATTGCATGATGTGAATATTGAATTGTCTTGAATCTGGTTCATCGTACAAACATTCTTCAGGCAAAAATTTTTTTCCAATTAAACGAGTTTCGTTGTTATTTAATTGCACAATGTTTTCAACTGACACAAAAGAATCATCTTTTAAGAGTACGTAAGAGTCTTTGCTATAATTGCAGTCTATAATGAATGAGTCCGTTTTCAATATTTTATATTGATGTTTTACGTCTGAACAATTGTTTGATAAGGGACCTCGATTGTGTGAAATCTTGAAAATTGTTTCTGGAAGAATTGGTGAATCATCGCTCATCTCAGCTGCTTCCATTTCAGCATATCTTCGAGCTATTTGCTCTAATGGCTTATCCCCTTTTCTTATCATTTTTTTAATAGTCATCATATAACTTTCAAAACGAAACGCACTATATCGGTCAAAACAGCCATATTTTTTTACATCTGAAGCCACATGAAGTAAATTGTGAACATTATGCGATATGTATTGCTTTCCATAGATTTTTGTGAAACCTTTAACAAAATGTTGAAGCATTTCATGGCCACAGTCAATATTACGCTTAACCTTAAGATGAGTGTTACTAACTAAAATGGTAGCTGCTGAATGTAATAATATAAAATTATCATACATATTTTTCCTAAGAATATTTTTTAATACTACAGGACCTGCATATAACAAGAACGTACGAAATTCCGTAGCTTTCCAATATTTGTATTCTAACAATGTTCTCGGTTTTCTAGCGAATTCTTTCGGTATACTTTTACGTAAAGTTAGCAGCTTCTTACTAATTTTATTAATTTGAAATGCACGTAATCTTACTTTTGGGGGACCCTTTAACCACAGACTAATAAGCCTCTTAACAACCCCTAAAAGAAGAAGATGCATATAATCCAAAGGTACAGATGTTATACCACCAAAATTTGGAATGTCATTTAAAATAGATTTTTTATCAAAATCGTTATAAACGTTTCGAGCAAAATTTACGTCATTTTTTAAATAAAATGGCCCTACTCCTGGAAAACATACTCTTCCGGATTGTTTACCATTTTTTCGTTTATTTTTATTTAGAACATACTTTCCTTTAATTTTACATTTAGAGCAACTATCGTACCCAGTGTGACCCTTTAAAAACAATACAAAAGACTTTGCCGGGGCATCACAAATTAACCCTTCAAAACTGAATTTCACGTTACTGTCCGGTAAGCCATTTTTACTGAGTTCTATTGCTTCTTCCACGAAAAGTTTAAGAAATTCATTCGCGTTTGTAGGTTTGCTAGGTCCAAAAAAAGCACCAATGGGAAAAACTTGTTTTCCATTTATGTCGGAACATAAAATGAGCCAAAATCCTTTGCCTGTAGATTTGAATATTGGTAATCCGTCAATATTTACAAGTAATTTGATACGATCTATTTTTTTAGATCTACGTTTAAATTCTCTAAGGATTCCTTTAACCGCCCTTTTCAGTCCAAAATGATAGTACTGACCACCATCTAGTTCATTGACAGAAGTTTGTCTTGGTGTACCCATCAAAGTTCTGGCATCTAGTGGTAATTTTAAATTCGTGAAACATTTTAGAATTAAAAGCAATGCTGTTAATGCAACTAAGGTAATACGAAATTTAATCGCCCAAAAATGTAATGCACTTTTGAAAGTTCTTTTAGAGCTTTTAGTATCTAATTCAGGTTCTTCAGGAAAAATTTCACGAAAATTTTCGCTAACGTCGTATTCCACATTATCTTCAGACGATTGATATTCTACGTCTGAAAATAAATAGCTCGTGTTCTCTTCTTGATCATCGCTTACTGACTCGTTGCTACTTTCGTTAGAAATCAAAAATTGTGCTTCAGTGTCTGAACATTCGCTCTTGTCCTCATACTCGAAAGCAGCAGTGGCAGCCTTATCCACAGACATTCCTTCCGAAATATTCTCTGCAATCTCAATCATTTCTCCAGCTGTATTTATCATTGGCACATGATCATCAGTCAGTTCAATTTTTGAAGTCTCATTATTAGAGGGAGAAAAGTCAACGACATTTTTAACCTTATGGGGTTCTTCTTGATGTCTATCAAAAATAGATCTTACATCTTGATCTATCCGCTTTTGTAAAATACGACGAAACTGTTTTTTTGAATAGCCGCATAACGTGGATTTTTTCTTTATCTTGACCATTGTTTTAAAAGAGATTTGTGATTTATTTCCTAAAAAGAAAATTACAATCAAATCAATAAAAATTAGATTTAGAAACTTGAAGAGCTGGATCGGAAAACCGACACTTAGTCTCATGTATGTCGCCTAGAGTCTGATTCAGGCAAGAGACTTTGGTGAGTGTAAATAGTCGATTTTACGATTAAGTTCCTCAATTAGGAAATTACAGGAATATCTCAAAATCAGTATTATTTACGCCACCGAGTCAATATTCTTGCGATACCGCGTTTCGCTTAAAAATGTTTGACGCTGAGAAAGCACCTGGCAAAGGCTGGTTATAAAACTTTTCCAAGGTAAAAACCTGGTTGTTGAAATGTTAAAATAATTATAAAAAATTTTCCATTTCTTCATTCACTTACTTGGAAAAAACATTCATGTCTTTTTCCAGTCTAAATTAAGTATTTCAGAAATTATTTAATTCGTATAAATAAATTTTTTAACGCTTGGCTTTGCCTAGGAAGAAACGTTCACTTCTTTGCTAAGTTAATACCACAAGTGTTAAAAAAATAATTTTCACAAAAAAAATTTTTTTTAATTTTTGGATTTGCCAAGTGGTTTTAAAATGGGGAAAATTTCTAATAGTTGTCTAAGTTTGACATCCAGGCTCTTACTCTTGAAAAAGTTTATAAGCACTCCTTTGCTTAGGAAATGGGAAAATCTTTTTCTAATGTTAGCCGAAGTTTTACAATCGCTTTTCAAAACATTCGCCTAATGGTGTTATCTCATTCTCAATCATTATCACTCGGGCCTTTATAATTGGCCAACCTCAGAAAAATTTAATCTTGGAATCAGAAAACTTGAAATTGTACCTAAATCTTAATCAATTTTAAACTTACTTTTTTCCTTACCAGAACACGAGTTATCTAACGTCTTTGGAATTGATGGCGATAAATTTTTGATAATATCATTATTGTCTGGTCCAGAAAATTCTTATTGTAATGACATTGTCTTTAATCCTGATTCGTAGAGTCCTGAAATTTTTTATTTTTTGTTTATCTAAAACTTATAAATATTTACCACTAGAGAAAATCAATTTTAAAATTAAAACAATTTAATTAATTTTTTTGTAGAAATTAAGGTTCGGAATTCAAATTTATGTCTAATCGATCTGTAGGTTATTTTGACTATTATATAGTTTCTCTGAGGAAGTGGATTTTTGTATTATTGGAGTTTTCTTATTAGTTCAGATAATTTCTCGAGTCCTACATTAAGAATCTTCGAATTTATTACTATAATATTATTTTTGTTATTAGTATTAAAATTTTATTAATTTTTATTAATTTTATAAAATAAATAATAACTTTCCTCGAAAATTCCAGTAGAATTCTGATGGAAACTTCACGGAACAATTTCCCGGAAATCTTTTCAAATGAATAAACTTTTATAAAAAGTAAATGTAAACTTACTTGTTTGTTTGTAAAATTTTTACAACATTTCGACATTTTTAT